TGGCAGAGGAGTATGAAGGAGATCACGAAACGCTTGGGTGCTGTCGGTGCTACTCGCCTTCCAGGATGGGGACCGCGTGATCCTCACTGTGCCGGGTTGGAGACACTACAAGATATGGCTGCCAACCGATGTCAGTGGCGTTCTTGTTGTCAGTTTCTATCCAGATTGCCTGAGTGATGTCTGGAGGCTAAGTCCCTTCCCCGTCCACCTTTACTCCTTTCTTTACAATAAGGCTTTCAAATAAAACATGGTTGTACGTCACTGAAGCATCGGTGTTGAACACTGATATTATGCTGTCGATGACGATGATGATGATGATGATGATGATGATCACTCAAACCTGGTGGGATCCACAAGAGGATTTGAGAATCATCCCCAGACCTGCTGCTGGGGATCTAACTTGGTCTCGATGTTTCTGTCTGTGAAACTTTTCAGGATGGCTTAACCGGGATTGGTGTCAGCGCAGAGCAGTTTCAATATAGTGGCAGTAAAGTTAAAAATTTACAAGACGTGTCTAATGGTTGCTGAACCCGGATCTTGTGATTTCTTTGTGGAAAGCGTTGGAGCTCCAGTTTCGTTGTGTATTCTATCCGTCGTGTATTCATTCTATCAGAGGCCTCTGAAACTGTTTATAAAGCAGATACAAACTCGAGTCTCTTAAGCAAGTGCTGTTCTCAACAGAGTTGTTGGGATTATTAAGACTCTTCATTGTTAAGCCTTACACGTTACTTTTGATGTTTTCAATGTTTGTCACTGCAACTTACAAAACATCACTTTTATGAAGCTCAGCGTGGCTTGAAGAAGTTATGCGATTTGTTGATCTTTTTCTCTGATGTAGGATATCATTCACGCCCGTGGAGCGCTACATACATGATCGCGTGTTGGCCCAATCCGCTGGTGCGCTTCAACGACTCTCGCATACATTGTCCATCTCTCCAGACCAGCCCCTGGCTACTTTGCCTGGAACAGCTCATTGGCGCCTAGTTTACCTCATCACTCGATTGCGACAAGCTTGTACACATGCTAGCTTGGTGGTCGGTACCGGACCTATCAGCAGGCATCGACAACGTCCAACACAGAGGGGGCAGCGTCTAGGCCATGGTGGGGACACCAGTTATGGAGACGCAAGTCATAGCGAAGAAGAATGTGATCTATACGACCCGGGATCTACTCGTAATCGGAATGTCAAGAATTGTGATGGTCCAAGCGTTGCCGCAGCTCGTGCTCATCGTGGGTATGTTCTACGACCTCACTGAAGACTCGCTGGTGAAGTACCGATAACAGCTCTTGCTCAGTTGTCTCCCTTTCAACGTTCCGGTTTTCGGGATTCGTTTTATTTAGCTCGAATTCCAATCGCCTCACTGCCTAATCATACTTATTTCTAGTCTAATTTCGTCTGCATCCTTTTGCGCATCTGTTATCTGGCAATAGAATACATGGTACAGGTGTACACGCTACATGCATGGTAGTCAGAAATTAAGTGAACTTGTGCATCTCTCCCTTGTGTTAATCAAGCTTCTCCATATCAGTGAAGCGATTTCAAGTCTTTTTTATTATCACTTTATATCCGCTTGTCGAACTTTTGGGCTAGCATGGAACTCTTTCCATCCAACTTAGTTACCCGGGCGCAACGCTGTAAAATAGAACTGATGTGGTACTGATGGAATTGTTGGTATTTGTGGTCGCATAGCTGGTAGTTGATTTGTTCGCTGAGGTGCGTGATTCGGTTGCAAACGTTTCAGCATCAGTTGAGGTGAAATAATTGCGTGCTTGTGCAGCGGAGCGTTTCGTCAGTGGTTGACACAATCCAAGAGCTTGAGACAGCTCTGTAGTCAAAGTGCGAACTTACCGACTGTAAGGTCCGTGATTCGAACCCAACCGCGCAATCTCGACTGCTCCTGTCTGGGCTTTGGTGATCTGGCACAACCTCAGCCCTCGTTCCTGCTTCGGGCTGCATGGCACCCAGCTGAATGTTACAGCTGAACAGTTATCATTATTATTATTCGACGCAACACAAGTTGTGCTCGAATCGCTGTTTTGAAAATCCATCGTGGTCCAAGTAGATCGGAATAATGATAAAATCGTTCAGTTGTAGCACCCTTTCGGTGCCTGACTGCCACGCCACCAGAAGGAAGCACGAGGACTCGGATATTGTCAGGTTGCCCAAGCCTAGACAGGAGAAGTCGAGAGGCAGGGGTCGGGTTCGAACCACGAATCTTCCGGTCAGTAAATTCGCGCTCTAGCCGCTGTGCTATCAGAATACCTTTTGGAGAGCCAGACTTTATCTGGTCTGTTACGCGCACGTAAATTGTTTGACGTTCCTATAAGCGTTTCAAGATAAAAATGCGTGGAACCAATTGAGAAGTCGTGGTTTCAGATGGATTTGGTCAACGATCGGTGGATCTGTTGCTTGGCAACGTTTCGCTTCTGACACAAAAGCTTCGTCGGTCACCAGGTTGAACGAGTTTCAAAGGAGACGAAGAACCAGTCAGTAAGGCGCCTTTCAACTAGCCAACTTAATTGATGCTAAATGTTAGTCAGAAGTTCTTGTTAGTTATTGTGGATGGGGGAATCATAATCAAGTTGAATCGAGTTTTCGGGACCTTGCTCTTCCGGTTTAGGAAGAGCAATTCCTCTGGGGTATCGTTCACTTGATAAAGAATTTTCTAAATAATTGTTACTAAAGTCAAAACGCAGCGTAGTGGGATAGGTTGTTGTAATCCGACGTTTCGGCTGCCGTGAGCGACCTTTCTCAAGTATTTCTACAATCAACTGAATACGAGTCAAATACGAAAGTCGCTGCATTTGACTCGTATTCAGTTGATTGTAGAAATACTTGAGAAAGGTCGCTCACGGCAGCCGAAACGTCGGATTACAACAACCTATCCCACTACGCTGCGTTTTGACTTTAGTAACAATTATTTAGAAAATTCTTTATCAAGTGAACGATACCCCAGAGGAATTGCTCTTCCTAAACCGGAAGAGCAAGGTCCCGAAAACTCGATTCAACTTGATTATGATTCCCCCATCCACAATAACTAACAAGAACTTCTGACTAACATTTAGCATCAATTAAGTTGGCTAGTTGAAAGGCGACATGGTCGTGCACTTTTTTATTCTTTTTCAGATGTTTCACGATGACTGAAGTAATTCGTCGAGTGGTGGATGACACAAGACGTGAATGTGAGGGGTTATTACGTTCCTGGGTGTTCAACAAGAACGGCGCAGCTGGTTGTTTTATCATCAAACAGCAGGTAGCCATTTCGATCTTCTCTCTATGCGGTCATATCCCCATGCATCCTTTACAGACCAAATGCTCCTGGGTTGTAAACTAATTCGAACTGGTTCTCAACCTACCGCAGTATTTGACCCCTATCTGGATTACTGCTTGTAAATAATTAAGGCGAATAAATAACTGAGTTGTGGCATTATCATCAAAGACGAACAATAAGCCATCCAGCATCTGGCTTTTCCTCTTAGGCTGCACGAATTCACAGTTTGGGATTTTCATTAGTTATTATTCACAAATGGGCATGGGTTGTTACAACGCATGTTTTAGAACTAGTGGTGTAACCAAATCAAGTGGTAACCCACAAAAGTAGTTGCACATCTATCGAGGTTTTTTTTGACCTGGTGACATTGTACCTCCTGTGATTTTATTGTGTATTGGATAACCTTGGCAAGTTTCTCAGCCAAACTGTCCTACACTTAAGGTTGTTTCACTAATAATCTGAAGTAGCACAAATCTTCCTGTCTATCTTCACAAATTCGCACGATTCTTACTGTTGATGGTTCCCATTCAAATGAACAACAAACAACAACACATAGGCTTCACTTAGGGCACAAAATCTCGGTTGAAAAATTCCTAAACAAATAATTCCTATGAACAAACTAATTAGTTCAGAAGGAATGATAGTTCGCATGGTAATTGAAGCTTACATCCAATCTAGGAGGTACTTCACACGTGGCAAAGTGATGTGAATTCCGTGACTGAAGGATGAAAGGCACTAGATCTTGTCTGATTGTGACTTAATCACATTGCCTATCAGCTGCTCGTGGTCGAGCGGTTTGCTTTTCAACACCAGCCGCGAGGTCGCGGGATCGATCGTCCTGGAGATTCGCGACTGAGAATAAGGCGGCTGCACAATGTTTCTCGGATTTTTGACATAGACTGAACTCTCGATTGAGGAAGTATGTGCGGTTGCGTACCTGTCGTTCATTTCCGTTTATTTTAGCAGCACTATACGGTAGCACAGCGAACGTTCGTTTGACCACCACGTACTACTAATCCAGTTTCGTTATATCTTCTTTTTGGAATGTCACTTCAACCCGTTATTCCAATATCAGACTTGGGAACCAGAGTTCCGCCGCTTTGTTGAAAGCCCATAGGTGCGCTAGCCGGGCACTAGCTTACGTGAGTGTAATTTGATCAAATTTATTCTTACCTTAATGAATCTAAAAGTCAGTGTTTATCGTGTCGACCGTAATTCCTTTCATCCCGAAGTTTGACCTGGCAGCAGACTGCTATCGTGACGTGTTACGCACTGCGAATGACTATGAAAAGCGTCACGGGGTCTTGGCGGATTGGAGCCAGCGACTGCACGCAATTACAAATCTCCACTGGCTTATACAATCTCGTGGGGTTCCTTTGGAAAATCTCCCACTCCCCTCCATGAGCACTGGGGGGTCGCTGGATCCGTCATCTTCTGAAGACGCTGAGAACGAACTGGATCCTCGTGTCGATCGTGATCTTCTTCGCAAAGCAGAACGTCTACGCAAAACCTACATACAGGTTCGGCAGAATGTAACGTTTTATACTTTTTTGTATAATTTCCTATAGACAACATGTACCTGTCACTCTTTGTTGTTCGTGCCAGCGAATTAGGCGCTAAGACCAGAAGCCGTCACCTTGTCATGGTGTTTAGGCTTGAATGCTACGATCATCCCATGGCTTTTTATAACGGGTACCCCGTTTCGCAAGTTGCAGCATATCAAGAAAGCCAAAGGGAAGCAGCGAGCCGTTACACTAAGAAGAATCATACTAATAGGCGGTCTGGAGGTAGTTATACTGTCCTCTAAGATGGGTCTTAAAGGTGGCAAGCTGGGTGACGAAATCGATACTGGGCACACCGATAATGAGGAGCTGTGTGCTGAACATAGTCTGTTCCTCACCAGTATGAGCGTTCAGCAAAAGCGCCCACTTGGAGTCTATGAACCGTAAGCCAGTCTTCAGCTTAGTTGAATCTTGTGATCATCACTTGCCAATTGAAAGCCTTAATTAGATGGTGTGTTTTCTGCGTGAGCAATCAACTTAACTCTGATTGTGCCATTGTTGTCGAATTTCTTTCTCAGAATTACACATGCTGAAGCAGAGCAGTTCCTTTCATCAATGACTTTTTTCAGCTTACTAATATCGCTTTACGTATGTGACTACTGAAGCCCGTTTATGATGTTAACGTCTGACAACGTGCGTCTTATGGCCATTCTGACGAAACGGATCAGGGTGATTTATTGTTTCGAATTTTGCAATAAGATATTTCTATGGAAGCGAATTCGTCCAGCAATCAAGCGGGGAACGTTCAACGTAACACCGAGGGATATGCAAATCCACCATTGTACGTTTCTCTCGAGGTTTCATCCGTGGCCTCGACTCCAACTCGATCTTTGGATAAATCCAGTCTGACCAAGTTCTACTCATCCAGTATATATAAAAACACAAGTGACAACTAGCCTATGCTTTGGCACAATCCCCTATCATTAATCCAGTCTGTGTCTTGGGACTCAGCTAATTTGATTAACGACTTATCTGTTTGTGTTTCGTCATGAAGACCAAAGTCGTGCATTGTAATCAAGCAAGACAGGAAAACTTAATGATTCCGAGTGCACACTTTGCTAGACACTGTGAAGATTGATTCGTGGTTCAAGAATATATAGAGGAATAATGTAGTAAACTTTCATGTTCCCAGAGGAATTCGGTAAGATGTCCTTTCCCGGAACTAGGGAAGGACCGGCGGTTTGTCAAGCTTGAGGAACACACTAGCGACATTGCATCTTTAAAATTTTTACTAGATCACTGACAGTACTTTTACTTACTAGTCGTAACTGTTTGTGTAATCTGATGCCTACAAAGTAGTTTTCATACATCGGTTAGATTCTTGCCTCGTTATGCACTACCCCGAAATTAAACACAGGTTATCCATACCCGGATGGTGTTTATCACGAAGCAGGAGTACCCTACCAACAAGATACAGTGTTAGTTTTTTCAGCTGTCGTTTTTACTCTGCTGCCAATGTCTCACTTTGTCGTCCCTCTTGATTTCAGATGCACTCGCGCTTATTGGCTCGAATGCATGACCACCTGGCTCCAGTTGTCGTTGAACTTGATACCGAACTGGTTGAGCCCCTAGATGCAGATGAATTGACTGAAAAGCCAGTGATTTCTTACGGATCCAGTTGGTTATCTTGGTTGTCTGATGCCATGAATTTCCTAATCTCTTGCGGTGTTGGGGCGAATTTGGTCGATATGCTGGTGAGTAGCTTTCAGGGAAAACCGGGTTCCAACCGAAGCGGTTTTCGGTGAGTCAGGCCGTTTGCTTTCCTGCTTAAAAATTAAAAAAAACTGTCTCTCAGCCTTGCCATACATTGTGATTCACATTTCATCTATATCTGAGCGACTCACTTTTTTCAAACTATGGTCTTTGTATGAAACGTATCGCCACGATTCTTTGGCTGGTATTTTTAAACATCGACCACGGCTTTGTTAATCCCCTCTCTCCGCGTTCCAAAACAGCTGCTCCGAGTGCTTTCGGTTTCATATTCACCGGTTGAATGCTCGATAACGCGGAGTGGTATCATTGGAACATCAAAACATCATGAATCTCCAACACCCACGTCAAGCTACACATACTGAGTGGATATTGTCTCTATTTTTCTGTGACTGTTATCTGAATTCATTCTCACGCTCTGGAAAGCATGTGATAAACTTTTTATCAGCAGACGCGCTTAGACTACCAAAAACTCATCGTGCGCATAACTTTTTTCAAACCGCTGCATTTGAGTCAAACAGTGCTACTAGGCATATTGCTGCCTGTTTCTTCTCTGGCATAATTTTCATAGGTCTGTGTGCAACTGAATTACCGTCAGCCTTCCCTAATAAACTTGCACCCCGGTTTCTTTCATTCTATTCAATGAAGCACGACACTGTTGCATGCGAACTCGGCTGAGACCTTCAAAGCCATGCTTTTGTCCGAAGTGATGGGTGTGTTCGAAGCACGCAAACGTCTACAGAAAGCAATGCATCCTCTTACTTCTACATGGAGGTCATTTTTGGTAAGTATATCTAACGCATATTTTCCTGCGGTTAATGGGTAGTACTTTTGGGCTTACTTTTTGTGCTTTCCATAACCGATGGGTATTTGAGGAATACTTGCGATCTTTCTCATCAACAGGCTTTCCTTTCAGCAAGTGGTGACGTTAGTTAGAGTGGTCAAATTTTTCTAAAATATCGGAGCCGTGAAAACTTCATCAAACGTGTAACAGTACCGTGTTACACCTCGGCCAGAGGGACAAAGATTGCTCTTATTTTGTGATAAACCTTTAATAGTTATTTGCCCATTATCTCCTCAATTTCTGGAGTTTCTTTTTTCATGTTTCCTCCCTTGCTTCCTCTTGCACCCTCTTTCAGGCTGGGAAAGAGGCAGATCCCAGGATACTGCAACCGTTTTACGCGTGTTGTGCACGAAACGCCCAAGAATCGGAAGAGGCCGAAAGCAAAACCTCCTCAAGTTCCAACAAAAAACAGAACAAGGCTAAAGAACTGAAAGACCTCTCTGTCTCTGCAACACGCCCGGTGCAGAAAAATACGAAGTGTGCCTACTGTATTGCCCTTCGTGCTCTCAGTAATTATCAGTGTGCGTTAAATCACGAGCGTCTGAAAGCCGGTCATCGGACAATGGTCGAACAGCTCGAGCGCCTGGACACCCAGGATGCACTAGATGAGAGTGGGACTGGTCTGGTCATGGGTAATCCACTGATTGTTTCGCTGTCTATCGTGTGTCACCAAATCATCCGTACGGTTCCATCGGTCGTACAGTTGAATGCCGAGGTATCAGACTGGCCACAACGCGCAAAACGTTTCGAACAGCTGTTTCGTCAAATGGGCAAGGAGGTCTTGGTGAGT